GTTACCTTCCTTGCGAAAAAGGCGCTACGCAGCGCCTGCTCAGGGGCGCGACCACACCATGGATTTCGCAGACACCCGACTGTGAATATATTTTAACACTCAATAAAAGGAAGCAATGTACAGCAGGCCTCAGCGACCACAAACAGCACTATTAAAGTGGGCGAATATGATAGCTTTGAGCCAACCCGGAGGGAATTGAGGCTGACAAGATGAAATCCGAGCCAACTGCTGTCGAACTGCTATTGGCAGCCGTTCTTGCTACTGGACCGTTTGCCTCAAGATAAGAATTTATCTACTACATGTAATTAGCCATATCTTTCTGATCTATTCTCTGTCAGTAAATTCGTAGCGCTCGTCGCAGCAACAGTGGTGCATTGGTTCCAAACAGGTCAGGGCAATTCACGTCATACGCTGGAAAATCTTCAGTGGGGTTGTATTTGATTGCTGGAGGGGGAAGGGGTGTTTATCTCGTAAAAAACTTTGAATAGGCGATGTTCCATGTTTGACACGCGCTGTACACATCGTTGCGAGAATCTCACTGTGTGGGAGGGAGGAGGATCGTATCGGGCCTCAAAGGCAAGGCACGAGAATTTGGCGCTCGGTCTTAAATGGCAACAGGGGTGCTATGCAGTGGGTAAATGACGAAAAAGCGAATTCAAACGGTAACTGCGGAAGATGCCTTTGTTCCACACGAGCCGGGGCATCGGACGAGTTTCTCGTTGGCATCGTGCCAATAACTGCTACGGTAGATACGGCCATAGTATGTACTCATACATCCGAGCAGCAGCACTGCCACTTCTAATCAATCCCTTTCTTCTATTGTGCTTAGCAAATGAAGCGATACGAGCACCAGCATTGCTTGGACATCTGTGGCGGGCGAGCGCGGTGGGGAGCCGGGTCGGTATAATGCAGCTTTGGGGCGCTCTAAGGGTACCTCGCTTGGGAGAGGAGCGACGCGGCGCTTATAAAGAGGCACTCAGGGTCTCTCCTACTAGGGTTATAATCCTACACGTCTTAGGTTGCCGCGCGACTTGTCTTTAGGAAAATGCCTTCAACTTCTCGTGGGTCTTCCCTTTTCACGTGTTTGGTATGGAGGAGGGCTGTACAAGAGAAAGAAGTTTGGGTGGATTTTACTTAGCAAAATTTTCCCCTTAACAGGACGTCGTTCAATAGGGGGTACAGCGAGAACATTATTGGTAGGTAACACAACTCACAGGACCCAATAAGAGGGGCCAAAAAGTTCCTAGCGCAAGTCGAAGCAACAATGGAAGTAGCAGCAGGATCTGATGTCCCGTGAGCTTCTTGATTAATCATGGGCTACCGTATGATGCAGCAACAGCGTTCGTTGGGCAAATTGTTATCAAATAAAAACTGGTAAAGATAAATGGTGATAGGCTGAAAATTACCGAATATGAACGACCCGTGACCGAGGTGTACTGGAAGAAGCTGAGCAGTGCGTAGGGGCGGCTATCTAAAGAATCGTTCGACCAAAATGAATAATCGATCGATATTTCAGAAAATCACCAACTTGTGCAAGTGGTTGCCCAGCCAACAGTTGTGCCGTAGTGAGACCGTTCATCTGGCTAATATACTGCGAATATAAGGCTGTAGGATCAAGTTTCGCCTGAATAGCCGTATAGAATTGTCGATTGAATGGAATTCATCGGTGGTTAAAAAAGAAATCGAATCGATTCCATTTCTATACGGAGCTGAATATCAAGAGCTGCATGCAAAAAGCTAGGAGGCACGGAGAATTTTTGATTAGCCGGCTGCCCCCAAATTGATAGTGACACAACCACGAGAAAAATTTTGTAAGAAGTTAATCTAAGCTGTTCATCGACCCCTATACCATTAACTTGAAATGTCCATCAACCTTTATACTTCTAACAGTCCATTAACCTTCCCCATGTCAGAAAAAAATCTATGAAAATTAAATATATTCACCCGTTTTGGACATTTATATGGATAAAATTATTGGCTGTGCGCAATTAGCTGAACAACTTGCAGATTCTATAAACCTTTAGATCAGTTAGAAGGTAAAAATCGAGAGTTAGCTTAGAAAAAAAGAATCCTCGTAGTTTGTATTTCCTCCTGATAAAGGAAACATCAACGGTTCCACGCGTCATTCAGCCAAAAGAGGACCATCATCATTTCAACCGGTGCAGTCTGAGGATCCAGTCTCGCTCCATGCACGCTAATTAGCTTTTTTGGCTAGTTTAGTGCTTGAGATAGACATAGCTATGGCACCAGCTTTAAATCAATTTGGATATGGCAGCTTACGTCCCATACCGTACACTTTGACGGCCAATGCTCGAACATTCAATAATCCCTACTGGCGGCGACTCCTTCTATTCCAGCTTCTATTCCAGGGGTACGCAACTGAGGGCAGAGGTCGTACTGTTCGCTGAGGGGAAGGGTTTGTATTGCCTTGTGAGGGATACTATCGGTTATTGTCCTTCCGTAGTTTCCCCTTTCTCGTGCCATGCATCCCCCCACTGAAGGTTTTGGGGGAAAGCGGAGCAGTTTCAAAGAAAGTCCGAAAAAGTAGCTGAGTAGTGAGAATTCCGGGGAGTTTGTAAAATTCTCCCTTTAACATCAAGACGGGCTTACTCCAGCTCGGACTCTCCGTGCCTGTGGACGTGTTCTTTTTAGACTTGGGCAAAGTGCATGTCTGCATTTACATTGACCATAAGTTCTGCAGCGAGACAGCCCTCCCCGTGCAAGTTTATTATACTGCACACGTCCTATCTCCCCTGTTATTACTGCCTATGATGGGAACCACTAAATAATGAAAATGATCTGACAGTCATTTTTGAGACCTGGAAAGAAGCAGTTATTGATTATCAAAATTTTGAGATAACGGGGCGAATAATAGGTATAGGACGTGGACGCTTTTGACCTCGTCACGCTGCGTATGCTGGGGCGGGTCAGAGGGGCTGGGTTTGGCGCGCTGCCAGCCCAATTTCCACTAGTTGCTGTCGCTTGCACCTTCAAGAACTGGTCGAGAACAGGTTGAAGCCGCGCCAAACCCAGCCAGTCTGACACGCCCCAGCATCTGCAGCGAACAAGACCATAATTCTTTTGACGCTAAGGGGGTGCGTCGAACCAATTAGCTACGAAACTAGCTGATTTGCGCGTGATGCCGCGACTAGGATCTCATAAACTACACCTGTTAGGAACTATTTTGTTAAACCAACCTTTTTCGGTTCCGAATCTACAGTCATCACTGGCGCTAGGAAGGTTCCATGTATCGACGACAACAGTTCGTCAGGGCCTCTCTGAAAACATCTCTGATTATTTACTGTTATAAGCAATGAGAGAGTAAAAAAATCTGACAGGATTCATAGGTTTCATTTCGAGAAATCATTTCAAGAGGAGGTTTTGGAGAGGGAAGTGTTCCCGAGTAGGTCATTCACTTGAGACGAGATGGGAGGCAGGATTTCGTGCTGGCGTCGCTTTGCCGTTAAGCAATGCTAATTGGAAAATTGAGACTAGGCACGCTGATATGTGCGAATCGGAAAGACGAGGCGACTCGAGGGGGGATGAAGAGCGTCTGCATGCAACCGTTGAGTTTCCTAACAATTCCATATAGTACTGCAAATCGACGAACCCCATTCAGTATACGCCAACAACACCTTGACAACAAATGTGTGCCGTTGTATCGATTGCAACAATAGAATTAAGGCCCGACTTCATTTCTCTTCACCGCCTATGATGTCACCACTGTTGTTACCAATGCATTTTTCCAAAGTAATTTCACCCTGTTTAGAAGCACGATCCATTCGGAATAAACGGAAGCGGGGAGGATCCTTATTCACATAAAAAAGCAATATGAGGGCATTTTATGAACGGTGCAGTATTGAAACCGAGTGCAAGAAACACCTTTTTGGAGGAAAACAACTAGTGCGCCGCATTTCAGAATCCACCCACACCTGAAGGAATTGAATAGGC